CTGGTACTGTCCTGCCTGGACTGTATTTTCCCTGCCTTCCCTGAACCTTTCTTGACCTAAGAAAAAAGAAACACAAAATATCCCCCTCTAGTGGTCGAAGGCGGAATAGCAGCTTCCCATTAGTTTCTATGGACGGAAAAGAGCCGATACGGATCAAATGGTTTTCAATGCATTCCTATGGGAAATGCAGATTTGACCTGAGAACTTTTTGACTTGAGAACCGCCTTCCAATACGGATTAAGCATGGAATCTATAATTGATACATATAGAAGAACCAGAAGTGGGGCAGCACCTCCACAAATACCATACCCAGTATGGCTAAATGGGCTACTTTTGATGTCTCTGGTAGGAAAACCCAAAGAGTTCTAATGGAGTAAAACAAATGGGGAAAGCTTACAGGCACTGGGATATGGAAGGGAGTAGGATCCTCTGTTCCAATCTCTCCCTGGGAAGAACCAGAAGTGGGGCAGCAGCTCCCCAAATACCATACCCAGTATGGCTAAATGGGCTACTTTTGATGTCTCTGGTAGGAAAACCCAAAGAGTTCTAATGGAGTAAAACAAATGGGGAAAGCTTACAGGCACTGGGATATGGAAGGGAGTAGGATCCTCTGTTCCAATCTCTCCCTGGCAGCTGACATTTACTTACACGGATGTGCTTCTCCTTGTTCTCCCCCTGCCCATGGTACTATATAACCAGCCTGAACAAATAGCCATAGTTGCAGCTCTGCAGATTCATCCAATGCCTTTCCAAAGCCATCTGAGCTGATGGTTATCATGTTTGTGATAGCTAATTGCATAACCTAACTGTGCCCTGTGTGAATACTGTATTTTTCCGTGTATAAGATGTGCCCATGTATAAGACACACCCCTTTCTAACCCAAAATTAAGAAATCTAAGTGGGGCTTAGCAAGTGTAGGTGGGAAGGAGATCAAATTGCTGCAGGATCACTTTGATTCCTGTTTTCCCCTCCACTTGTTTTTGTTCTATCCTCAGCTTACTTCTGTTTGTAAGACGACCCTCAATTTTTAGTCTAAAAATCTTAGACAAAAGTATAGTCTCATACACGGAAAAATACGGTAAGTTCATTTCTTTGTCCTGACTCTCAACTTCTTGGCCATCCTGAATGATAATATTATGACCAAGAGAGGGGGGGGGGACTTTCTGTAGACCATGTAGAAAGGTCGTAAATTATTCAAGTAGAGTTTTGCCAACTTTATTTTTAAAAACATAGTGAAATAACAAAGCCATGCTGAATATTAAATCCTTTCCAAACCCCAGATGGAATTTTCCCTTGCGCAAAAATATCAGTGAAATAGCTTTCTTGTGCTCTTGACCTTAGGTTTCACAAATGACACCAGTAATATTGGCAGGCTTTCTTTTTCTTTCTTTTCTAACAGGTACCAGCAGTGCAGAAGTAAAGGAGAACCGTAACATTGGCAACTTAGAAGATCACCCAATCACCTCTAATGAAAGGTCAAGAGTAGGGACTTCCGGTGTCAAAAGGAAAAGGCCTCTAGAAGAAGGTAACAGTGGGCATTTCTGCAAACTCCAGCTCATCTGGAAGAAAGTCTCGTGGTCAGTAACGCCAAAGAATGCTCTGGTTCAGCTCCATGAACTTAAACCAGGTTTACAGTACAAAATGGTTTCCCAAACAGGCCCAGTCCATGCTCCAGTATTTGCCGTTGCTGTGGAAGTAAACGGACTGACCTTTGAAGGCACTGGGCCGACGAAGAAGAAGGCCAAAATGAGGGCTGCCGAACTCGCCCTCAAGTCCTTCGTTCAGTTCCCCAACGCATGCCAAGCTCACTTTGCCATGGGGAATTGTTTCAACCCTTCCACAGACTTTACCTCAGACCAGGCAGACTTTCCGGACACCCTGTTCAAGGAGTTTGAGCCCTCTACGAATAGTAAGGACCTCTCAGGCTGTAGCCCAGTTAATAACGACCTGCTTTCTGCGGCTTGCCGGCACGGGAGGCTGCTCTGCCACACGTGGGACTTCATGGGCCGCACAAAGCAAAACAAGCACAAGATGGCGTCTGCCGCCGAGAGCGAACAGAACCCAGTGGTGTTGCTCAATGAGTTACGATCAGGACTGAGGTACGTCTGCCTTTCGGAGACTGTGGAGAAGCAGCATCTCAAGAGTTTTGTGATGGCTGTGAGAGTGGATGGGAGAACATTTGAAGGCTCGGGACGTAGCAAGAAGCTGGCTAAAGGTCAAGCAGCACAGGCTGCACTGAAGGCCCTCTTTAACATTCGGCTGCCCAGTCATATTCCCAGCAGGAGTAAATGTAATCATTTGCCACAGGTGAGAGCTCTCAGGTAGCCACCACCGAGCTAAAGGCATTCTTTAAGACTAATGTGATTTGTTGTGTTCTAGCCATAAATTGTGTCTTCATCAGAGCACTCTCCTCACAGTGTACGATGCTGTTGCGAAGCCCCTTTCCTCGTAGAAACATCTCCTTTATATATGCTTCCCTTCTTATATCACTAAGTGTCATTATATGAAGTATCTTCCACAAAAACAGCTGAGAATAGAAACATCTGAGGAAACCATGAATATTTCAACCACAGAGCATAACACTGCATGAGGTAGTAGAGGCAGAGCTCATTGTTGTTGTTTTGTGATAATGGTCTTAAGGAAGAAAACACAAGAAACATATCATGGGACGTCTTTGTCTCTTTTTCCTCCTCTCCCCCTCCCATCAAGTTATTTTTAAATTATTTGAGTCATTCTTTAAAACAATCCATGATTTACAGCATTCCCCCCCCCCCTTATCTCTATCTCTTTACTGCATTCCCAATGAATTCTGCTTCTGGCAAAATTTAAAGATCTTTGTGTGTGGCTGTCAAATATGACTGAAAGAAAAGAACTGTATGGTGTCTTATGGACTGTATGTTCATCTGAACTAAGCATATACAAAGAAAATTTCATAGCACATATTTTTGCATGCTGACTCGCAGAGATAATAAGACCCACGTCTCCTGTTTACACTTTGAGGAAATGTTGCTGGTTTCAAGGAGTCCACTGTTTTCCAGATAGTAATATGACATAAGCTGTGATTGGTTAGAATGACAGAAAAAAAGATTTAAAGTACTAGGTTGAATTTTGTTGCCTGTACAGTGGTGCCTCACTTAACGATTGCCCCGCATTATGATGAATCTGCTTTATGACGATCTTTTTGCAGTCGCAATTGCGATCGCAAAACGATGGTCTAAATGGGGGAATTGCGCTTTGCGAAGATCGGTTCCCTGCTTTGGGAACCGATTTTCACTTTACGACGATCAAAAACAGCTGATCGTCGGGTTTTCAAAATGGCCACCGGGTGCTTAAAATGGCTCCCTGCTGTGTTTAGGAACAGATTCCTCGCTATACAGGCAGTGAAAATGGCCACCGTATGGAGGATCTTCACTGGACGGTGAGTTTTTACCCCATTGGGACGCATTGAATGGGTTTCAATGTGTTTCAATGGGGTTTTTAATTTTGTTTTACGATGTTTTCGCTTAACGGCGATTTTCCTGGAACGGATTATCATTGTTAAGCAAGGCACCACTGTATTTTCTATTCAGTGTTGCCCACAACCTTCTTGGTGTGAGTTGAAGTCCTGTTTCCATTTCTGCCATGGCTAACAATAGCCAAGGTTGTTTTTCTGTATCATTGCAACGTTCATCAGGGAAGATATTTCTTTCGGTCCCACCACCCTCACATGTGCATTTGGTGGGAACATGAGAGAAGAGGGCCTTCTCAGTTGCTGCTCCCAGACTCTGGAACTCCTGCCCACTGCAGGCCAGGCTGGCCCCATCTTTGCTGTCCTTCTGCGATCAGCCAAATACGTTTCCCATCAGGCAGACTTTCAGTTTGTGACTGTCTAGGAGTAGTTTTAAAACAGGATGGTTTGTATCTTTGTTTTAAAATCTGTTTTAGTAGCGTTTTTGACTAATTTTAATATCCTTATTTAATTATTTTAAAGACATATGGAAACCACTCTTGATACATGTATTTGGAAATAATGCCTTAATGATTTAAGCCACCATGGATTCTTTTTTTTAGGAGAAAGGTGAGGTAGAAATATTTTAAAGAATAAATAAAATGAAAACTTCCATTGCTTTTTCCAAGCTTTTGAAGGGTCCGGTTGGAGATCATTTCCCTGAGAAACTTTTCTACTTATGAACTCTCTTCTTTTAGTCATTAGTTATTCTTACCTATTTGGAGAAGGTGCAAACCTGCTGACACTTTGAGATTAGAGAAATGGAATTTATATTCTATAGCTTCATCAGAAACCTCCAAGAGTGGCTTATACTGCTATATGTTTATATATTGTAACTGACAATGGGGCTTTGATAAAAGATTTCTCGCATTTCAGGTCAACTCACTTGTATCCAAAATCAACTTAGCCTGTCATGTGTTCTCCAGTTGTTAGGCTGCCTTAGTTCATCATCTTTGTGGGATAACTTTTTCAAATATGTTATACATGATATGGAATTAAATATTCGTATCCTCCCACTGTGCCTTATTTTTAAAAAAAGTTTGCCATTTTTATACCCCATATCTTGTTATGCAGATCAAGACTCACAAGTGAATGGGTGGAGATGAATTTATTATTTTTAATTTTCAGATGGAGGAAGGAGAGGGAGGATATATATTATGTTGTAACACTGCCCAGAGTCCCCATTAAGTGGGGTGATACATAAATGTTAGATATAAACAAACAAACAAACAAACCTGCCTTTTTTCCATATTAAAATCTGTACAATCTCAAGATGAAAGCTCTTACAGAACAGCAGGCTTTGGACAGTTCCTACTAAAAATATAGCAAACAAACTTTTTTCAGTCATTGCCACTGCCAACTTCAATAGGAACTCTAGTTCCCAGTACATATAAAATTACACTGCATCCACCTGCAATGTAACTGTTAAAGATAAAGAGGCAGAAATTGTGGTGCTTCATTTTTAGGAGGAGGAAAATATGTGTGTAGGAATGAGAGAATAAACTGTTTTGATAGGATGAACTCTGTCTACCAGTATCAGTCAAGTAGAGAACATGCTAGCTAGAGCAATGCAGGGCCTCGAAACACAATTGATCAAATAGTTGTCATCTCCATTAATTTAAGCCTGACAGTAAGAGTCCTGTAGGATCAGTCATCGGTATGGTTACAGTCAAAACCATACTATCCTCTTTTTTCAGGTGAAAGTGACAAAATGTCAATAGAAAAAATAAATAGCTTTGGATTCAATTTTTCATGCTCTCATAGCTGCACCTACCTGTAGAGCTTGTTACTTTGCATATTAGCTACACCAGCTTTAACATGCCAACACCACCATCCCAACATGAACTAGTCAATGCTAGAACAATTCACAGCTATTCAGGCTGCAATTCCACATACTTTTCCCAGGAGTAAGTCTCCACTGATCCTCAGCTTACTTTGGAACAGACATGTATAGGATAATCCTCTCAAGAACACCATCTTACTGGTCTACAAAATTTCCCTAAATTACATGCTGCTGTTTGGCAAATTCTAATTAAAAGAAATATACTGTGTAGATTTCATTAACTTGAGTGGAAAAATCAAGTAAAACAAACAGTTTCAAAAATTCTGAATTGGCTTCTATAATCAGTAATTAAACATATTCATTTCCAGAGACTAAGACTTAAACTATTGTCTTTGTCAAACAAGCAAGAGCTTTCTTAAACACACACACTTCTTCCACAACCTAGTCCAGCAGTTTATTATAGATGAGGGACTTCCCTTACACACTTGAAGCTTCTGGCATAAATACCTGCACTAGTTATTTCAACAAAGGCAGCAGACCTGTGTGTGCAATGTTTTAGTAATTGCCTCTAAAAAGAATGTTTGTGACCCTATTATATAGGACAAGGGGAACCTGCAATGGAATGTTTCAGTGTGGCACATACCTGGGTCAATGTGCCATCCATCCTCCCATCCATCCTCTTCTTTCCAGATATTCTGGTCTATCACCACCATCTGAACTCTCTTTCAAAGACAGATTGAGAAAATGATGTGGCCATTGAGATTAGTCCTTACTGGGCTGTTTAGAGTTTTCTAGTTTTTGCTCCTTGGAGTTCTTTCTAATTTTCTTTTTTCCTCTGCCAAGTCTGCCAGTATCTTTCCCTTGTTTGGAGGTACAAAAAGATAAGCAGCATGAAGAAGGAACTAGAAAAGTTCCTCCAGAGAAAGGATGGATCACTGCAGACCAAAGCCAAGATCATCCGTAAGACAATGTTCTCCATTTCTGTGAACAGATGTGAAAGTTGGACAGAAAAGGACACTTATATATATTTCCTACTAACAAAAATTATTAAACTGGGGCTATCATACTTTGGGTACCTCATGAGAATACAAGGCTCACTGGAAAAGACAACAATGTTGAGAAAAATTGAAGGCAGAAAAAAACAGAGGAAGAAGAACTATTAGATGGATTGACTCCGTCACACCAGAGCCTTAAGTCTGTGAGATTCAAGCAGAGTAGTTAATCACACAAGATTTTGGAGGTCACCAATTTATTGGGTCATCATAGTTCAGATGCAACTTGACAGCACATACTGATAACAACGAAGATCAGCACTCCCACAATGTATTCCTTATCTGTATGCTTGAGAAAGAAATGGGGAGTAACACTGGAATCCTGAAACTGTTTACCCTGGACGAACTTGCTTCTAATTTAGATTGCACCAGTAACACCATAATTGCACCAGAGTGGACTTTGTCTAAATGGGCGGCATATAAGCTCAAGAAATGAAATAAATAAATAATACCTGTAGTAATGTAAACAGCACATACTATAGCACAGTCCAATACAGTCACTGATTTCAGTGTGAAAGGTTTGCGGCTGCAAACCCAGCATACAAACATACTTGACAGCAAATCCTGTTGAACTCAAGTAGAGTTTCAAATAGAAGGTGTAGAACTGTGTTACATATCTCAAATCGAAATAAATGGGAGTTAAAAGTTGCTAACTTTAACTTAATATCTCCATTAAGTTCCTACTCCGTTCTCTAAAAAGGCAGGACAAATACATAGAGAGATGAGCATTAAAATGTAATGCTGTCTCCCTCCACTGCTTTTCTTAATATACTGTGGGACTAAGAATTTTCTTCTGGAGGGATGGGGAGTCTTTTGTGTAACTGTCAAAACCCTCGTTACCAGCATTTTTTAAAAAATGGTTTTAAACAAGGCTAGCCTAGGACATTTTGCTGCCTGAAGACCAGCAAATGGCATTCTCCCCACAAATCAAAACACATAGTACTGTACATCCCAGCAGAAACACAGGGGGGGAGAGAGAGAGAGA